CGTTTGATTCTCAACTAAACCTAATTTTAATTATAAGAACATTAGTTTGTTATTTAAGTAGTTACATTTCGGAGAACGATAGATTTACGTCGATCAAATTATGCACGAGCAATGGTAGAACGAAAAGGGTTTTAGAGATTAATCGAGGTGCGAAGAAAACCCATAACCAAAAAAAAAAAGAAAAATTCAGTATTGCAAAGAGATTCAAATGTTTAACCGATGTTTTTTTACGTGTTTAAGTAATTATTTCGTTATTAAGACAGAAGAAAAAAAAAGAGAAATTATTCTTTCACTTTTTACGAGTCCGTAATTAGTTTGATAATTTTGGTAAGTAGTTAGAAATTGAGGAGGAGAAGTGAAGAACAAAATGATGGGTAAAGCAAATTTGACGACCGACCTTGGCCAAATGAACTTGCTTTTAATCATGTCCGATAAAGTCAGCATATACCTCTAAATAAATAATAGACACATGAATGCAGTTTAAACAGTTCTAAAATTATAATTACAAAACCCAAAAGGACAGCAATAATCAAAATTATAATAATTACCCACATACATACGTACGTACGTACATACATATGTATGTATAGAGAGAGAGAGAGAGAGAGAGAACATGTATGTATGTATATATACACATACACACTCTTGTTTTTTTTGGTTGACTTTATATTAGGCATTAACTATCACTGATAATTAGTTTGAATTTTGAAATTTATGAAAATTTGTTGGAACTTTTAATTAAATTGTTCATTATTTTGAAATTTTTAATCTAATATTTTAAATTATTTGATCGTATTAAAATTGTGTTGATCTTAAATGAACTAATATTGTCTCGGTGAAATTGTTAAGTAAAGATATTCAAAAAAAAAATTAAATTTTCAAGACATATGATATAATTTTCGCTAAGAATATATATATAATTACACAAGTGAAAAAATCTCGTCAAAAATAATATATATATATTTAAGTGAAATTAAATATATATATCCCAATCAACATATAATTTATTCATATTTTTAAGTTATAGTCTCGTTTTGTTAAATTGTATATTTTTTACTTTATTACATATATCACATGAGATGTTATGTTTTATGAGTTCGAAACGTTACAATATAAATTTTAAAGCACATCAATTTTAATTAGAAAAAATAAAAAAAAAATTATTGTTTGAATTATAATTAAAATTTATACACGCTCAAAATTTGTTACCGTTTTTTATAATGTATATATAGTTCGTAGTCCACATAATTACTCGTATATATAATATTATTGTTTTATTATAAAGGATCTAAATTCTTACCAACTCATCTAAATCTAATAAATAAAAGATTAGACCCAACTGGCTAGTTTGAAAAAATCAAAGATATTGTTAATTAAGAGATTATGTTGACCACAAGTCTAAACAAGAATACAAAATTCAATTAATCTTGAATTCCTGCATGATTAATTACATTACCAAATCAATTTCCTGCCTCTTCTCTTCAAATTAAGCCATTAAGATCGTAAGCATCTCCTCCCAAATCCTATCAACTTCAATTTATTTGTTTTTAATTAAACTTGTATGCATGCATGTATGCATGTATGTATGTATATGAATTAGTTGGTATACACACACAAACATCTACACTTTGCATGTGTATAGATATGAATGTGTGCGTGTGACATGTGACTTATATTTGGCATCTTACATATCTTTTCATGTGAAGAGTTGTTTTTAATATTTGAAAGATAATGTAGTGAAGATATGCAATTTAATAAGCTTCCAAAATAATCTAAAAGAATAATTTTGACGTTGACCGACAATATGATAATATAACATATCATATATATATATATATATATATATATATATTTGGAAAACGCATTTATACTCTTAGCATGCATTCATGTTATCTTCTAGATCCAACATTGAAATACGTACTAATTAATCATGAAATAATTGGAACCTAGCTCCCCCTGTGTGTGTATATCTATATATGTACGTATGTGTGTGTATATATAGATATGTAAAGAAATATTTGGAATGTTATTCCACATATATATATATATATATACTAATTATAGAAGTAAAGCATTATAATTATTAATTATTAATGGAATATTGACCTTATTTTCAGGCAATGCGAAGACAAGTTTGTAAAAAGAAAGCTAGGGTTTATCGTCTAAAATTTGTCTTCCTTGTTTTACTGCTTATTTTATTTATATACTAATTAATTTTATTGTATTATATAAATTAA